TGTCACAGGATTAATGAGATTAAGCAGCTACGCCAGCGCAGACTGTGTGTTTGATGAACGTGATGATGCTGTTCTGGTACCAGCGGACTGTTTGGTCTGGACTCTGAGTTGGTCGGGAGCTGTGAGCGCGTCTGTGAGGTGATTTATAGGAGTAAATGTCGCGGCTCTGAGGGAAACAAGTCCGCGAGGCCCAGAGGACCAACAAATACGTCTTTGATCACGGTTTGCCTCGGCGAGTCGGACTGTTGTGGCAGTTCTTTATGTCTGTCTGTGAGGTGCCTGTGGTAGAGTTTAAATTATTCACAACCCGCACACACCAGCCCCACCCACACATCCACCGGCACCACACACACCGGCCCCACCCACACACCCACCGGCCCCACACACACACCAGCCCCACCCACACATCCACCGGCACCACACACACCAGCCCCACCCACACACCCACCGGCCCCACACACACACCAGCCCCACCCACACATCCACCGGCACCACACACATCGACCGGCCCCAGTCTTCCACCGGCCCCACACATCCACCAGCCCCACACACCCACCGGCCCCACACACACACCAGCCTCACCCACACATCCACCGGCACCACACACCCACCGGCCCCACACACACACCAGCCCCACCCACACATCCACCGGCACCACACACCCACCGGCCCCACACACACACCAGCCCCACCCACACATCCACCGGCACCACACACCCACCGGCCCCACACACACACCAGCCCCACCCACACATCCACCGGCACCACACACCCACCGGCCCCACACACACACCAGCCTCACCCACACACACACCAGCCCCACACATCCACCGGCACCACACATCTACAGGCCCCGCACATCCACCAGCCCCACACTTCCACCAGCACCTCACACCAACTGTGCACTCGAATATAAGTGAATATCGTCGAGACGCTGCCTCATGAACGTGGTAAGATCAGAGACCACCATTCATTTAATTTCCACTGATAACAGTCGTGAAGTTTTTTAGGAGATTGCTGAGGAGATTAGATAGGAGACCAGAACAGGTAAGGTCAAGAACTATCGCTGTGGTATCCCAGGTGGTGGCTAAGGTGTTGCTAGGCCATTGCTTTGGATTCCCAGGTAGTTGCTAAGGAGTTACTAGGATATTTCTATGGAATTGCAGGTGGTTGCTGAGGTTTCTAGGCTATTGCTGTGGAATTGCAGGTGGTTGCTAAGGTGTTGCTCAACCATTGCTATGGAATGCAGGGTTGCTAAGGTGTTGCTAGGCCATTGCTATAGAATCATAGTTGGTTGCTCATGTGTTGCTAGGCCATTGCTATGGAATCGCAGGTGGTTGCTAAGGTGTTGCTCGGCCACTTATAAGGAATCCTAGGTGGTTGCTAAGGTGTTGCTATGGCATCCCAGGTGGTTGCTTAGATGTTGCTAAGCTAGTGCTATAGATGTGTCAATAATATTGTTTGGGAACTGATTTTAGTTTGTTTTGGTGTCTCATTTTACTTCTCATATACTTTTGTTCATTCAGTTGTCAGGGAATCCTGACCAATAGACATATTTTGTCGGTTTTTGATCTCATAAGCACAAAACTGTATTTAGATAATCTACCATTAGTAACGCAATAGTACAAGAAACAAGTGTTTTTTCTCATTTTATTGACAGCAGATCATCTGTAACCTAGACTTTGTTGGTGTCCTTATAAGCCACCCAGCCTTTTCTTGTTTACCCAGCCCAGCCCCCCACCAACACCACCCCCCAATTCTCTCTCTCTGTTAAAGAGTCCATCAGCGCTCATCAAAAAGCGTTTCCACCTCTCTCTGTCTTTCTTACCCTTGAATGTTTTCTGAAAAGCGTCTCCACATCAAAGACGTCCTCTGGTCTCCTGAGTGTGGTGTGGTTCATTGTGGAGAGGTGTCTGGATTTGAAAATGAATAGTGCTAATGTTGTGTTTACACTTTTCCTCGTTGAATTGAAACACCCACACCTTCAGAGAGAACATCAAAGTTTGATCAGCTTTAGACTGTTGATTAAAGATGGTCACCTACAAGAGGCGATTGTCTGTCCACTCCTCGTGTGTATGTATCAATCCTCTTTCCGGACATGGTGATTATCCACTCTGAAACATCGGTACTGGTTTATATGTCAGTAATCACCGATATCTGATTAAATCTCAGAATCACCTACACTCAAAAACAGAGTTCTTCAAGGGTTCTTCAGTAAAGGGAATGATTCTATATAGAACAATGAGTTCTATGTATAACCGTTTCATGCTTAAATGGTTCTTTACATGTTGAAATGGTAATTCAGATTGATGGAGAATGTGTTGTATACAGTTCTATATAGAACCTTTCTGAAAATGGGGTTCTATGGGGCACCAGAAAGGGTTTCTCTGTTGTTACAAGCATGACATGTAATAGTAGAAGAACACTTTTTTGCTGTGTCGTGCCACATTCAACCTAAAAGACCATTTCACCATGCAAAAAACCACTTAAACATCAAAGTCAAAGTTTATTTCTATAGTGCTTTTTGCAGCAGGTGTCGTCACAAAGCAGCTTTAAAAAAAAAAAAGAAAAATCCAGGTCTGAGCCCTCATGAGCGTCGCCAGTGGCAACAGTGGCAAGGAAAAACTCCCTAAGAGCAAGAGGAAGGAACCTTGAGAGGAACCGAGACTCAAAAGGGAACCCATCCTCCTCTGGACCACACCGGACAGCAAACAGCGTTAGAATAAAATATTAGAATACAAAACGGGAAAAACAGGCGGAGCAACGGTTAATTAGATTAGGTTTAGATTATGCAGCAGCAGCAGCATCATCGTCAGGTCATGAGGATGAGGATTACACAGTGTTGTACAGTGTGAAGCTCCATGGTGGTCAAACCAGTCCAGAAGGCTGGCGAGCAGTGGCACCAGATCAAGGCAGAAGAAGCAACAGCATCAGACGTCCAGGATGGGCAGCTGTTCAACTCGGCAAAGAGAGGAAACACACAGAGAGTCAGTTCTGTACAGAGAGACTGACCACAGATTACAGGGTTAACAGAGCAGCAGAGACTCCGGCAGGTCTAGATATTACAGCCTCACTAAGAGGGAGAAACCAGAAAGGTAACAGAGTCATGAGGCTCCCTGAGATGTCGGCGCCCCTCCACTCCACCGCCTGCAAACCTGAGTGAGTGCGTGAGGCAGCGGGACGACGGCACCAACACTCCCAGTTTACCATAATACTCCATGACCATGAACCCCAGATCTGCACCTTTTATCTAACAGGGAAAACTAATTACCAAAGGCTCCACTTAACAAGTGGGTTTTTAGCCTAGACTTAAAGACTGAGGCTGTGTCTGAGTCCTGAACACTGACTGGAAGATTATTCCAAAGCTGGGGTCTTTGTATGAGAAGCTCCGCCCCCTGATGTGACTTTATTAACTCTAGGTACTAATAGTGAGCAGCACCTTGTGATCTAAGTAGGCGTGGTGGTGAGAGAGAAGTTCACTCAGGTACTGAGGGGCGAGTCCGTTTAGAGCTTTATAAATCAGTAATAGAATTTTATAATCAATGTGAAATTTAACTGGTAACCAGTGTAAGGTTGATAAAACTGGGCTGATATGGTCGAACTTTCTGGTTCTAGTAGGAACTCTGGCTGCAGCGTTCTGGACCAACTGAAGCTTGTTAAGGCGTTTGCTGGGACATCCAGCCAGCAGGGCATTACAGTGATCTAGCCTTGAAGTAATAAATGCATGAACTAACTTTTCTGCTTCCTGTAGAGAGAATGCATTTCTCAATTTAGCAATATTGCGGAGATGCAGGAAGGCTGTTCTAGTAATATTAGTTATGTGTGCGTCGAAGGACAGATCAGGGTCTATAATGACACCAAGGTTTTTTACATATGAGCTTGATGCAACTGAGAAATTGTTAAGTTTAAGTGTTAAATCAGACAGTTTGTTTCTAGCCGCTTTTGGACCAAGAAGCAGAACCTCTGTTTTATCTGAGTTTAGAAGGAGAAAGTTACTCCACATCCAGTCTTTTACATCTTTTATACAGTCTTCAATCTTGCTAAGTTTAATTTTATCATCTGGTTTTCTTGATATATAACTGAGTGTCATCGGCATAGCAGTGGAAATTGATGCCGTGTCTACTGATAATGGTGCCCAGTGGTAGCATATATATTGTGAATAATACAGGTCCTAAAACAGAGCCTTGTGGAACACCATACTTTACTTTTGTGAGAACAGATGATTCACCGTTTATATTAACAAACTGATAGCGGTCATTGAGGTCAGACCTGAACCAGGAAAGAGCTGTTCCTGTTACTCCTACAAGGTTTTCTAGTCTGTCTAGTAAGATAGTGTGGTCTATTGTGTCGAGGAGGACTAACAGAGACACTTTTTCTTGGTTAGAGAATAATAATAGATCACATTACTGCTAGTTTAAGAGTTTTTGGGATATAGTCAAGGCTAAGAGAGGAGTTTATTATTGACAGAATACGCTTGGTTATTTCTGGCAAAATTAACATGAAATTGTTCTATATAGAACTGGTTCCATATAGAACAGTACCTTTACTAAAGAACTCTTGAAGAATCATCTGTTTTTAGAGTTTAGATTTTCCCACTCTGCGCACCATGGTGAGTCTTACTGAGTGAGATTGTTGCTGAATTGAAAAACGTGCTAAGTTCACAGTATCGTATCTTTAAAAGCCGTTCTTGTCTTTGAAGTATGTAGATGTTCCTCTTTGTTTCTTGTGGGTGTTTTTGTTGTAGCACAGTTTTAAAAATCGCCTACACATCATGCACAAATGACAGCCTGTGGTTGGTTATTCTTCCTGTCCGTCAGACGGCCCCTTCCTGCTAAAGTAGGTGGTTCTTGGCCACATTAAGCAACAAAGCACACCAGACTCTCTGAAGAAAGACGTGCGAGGCTAAAGCGGCCCTCGCTTCGAGAGGCGGTGCATTATGTTGATTGAAATTTCGGTCTTCTCTCAGTACATTGTCTTAATTCTACTGTCTCCGTCCACAGGTGATGTTGGCAGCCTCATACTGGTCCCTGCTGGCCCCTGCGATCGAGATGGCGGAGGAATCTGGGAAATATGGGGCGTTCGCGTTCTTCCCCGTCGCTGTGGGTTTCGCACTGGGGGCAGCGTTTGTTTATTTTGCGGACCTGATGATGCCGTTTCTGGTGAGTTCTGGTGTATAATTTATTCCGGAGTTCATGTGGAATGTTGTGGAATGTTTCACTAACGGGTATGATTACCTGTGGGAACTGCAAAACATCTCATGTTGGCAGTGATTCATTCAGCACATTTACATTCTTATGTTCTTATTTAATCTGATAATGGATGAAACTAACATGAATTAGTTGGTGATGATATATCTTTGACATGAATCTGCACCTATACAGTAGTGCTGAACAGTCTGGAGTTCTCTGGTTATTTATTTATTTTTTTGTATTGTTTCTTAATGTTTGTTTAATAAGTGAGTATGTTTACATGAATTTATTAATCTAATAACTGCAGAAAATCAGACTGTGTCAGTAACTGGTTCAGCGTGTTTTACCTTAATAATCTGATAACTGCAGAAAATCAGACTGTGTCAGTAACTGGTTCAGCGTGTTTACACTTAATAATCTGATCAAACTGTTCAGTGGTTCATAACTCAGATCACTGTGTCAGTAACTGGTTCAGCGTGTTTACACTTAATAATCTGATAACTGCAGAAAATCAGACTGTGTCAGTAACTGGTTCTATGTGTATACACTTAATAATCTGATAACTGCAGAAAATCAGACTCTGTCAGTAACTGGTTCAGTGTGCTTACTCTTCATAATCTGATTATTATAATATTTAACTCCTTCATTTGGTCGAGTGTGTATTCAGTTAAACGCTGTGTTAACCCTGCTCGCTGTTTCCCGGGACAGCGCTCTGTTTCACACAGGCTCAGACTGAGAGAAAGAAATCAGAGTGAGAGTTTACAGCACTGAGAAACCCCATTACTGAGCTCAAATCAGCCTCTTTAATCAGATTCGTAGACCTTAATCTGATTTGAGCAATCAGAGTGCATTGTTTACACAACCACTTAATAATCAGAAAACTGCAGAAATCTAATTATGATCGGATTATTAAGTGCATTTAACCACATCGTTTGTTAGTAAGACCTTTAGAGAGTAATGTTTATTTATTTATTATTTGTGGTCAGTTGAAAGCGAATATGTGCAAATTGTTAATCATAAATATTTATATATTAGACAACAGTGAGTTCCGGCCACGCGAGCTGATTGGTTGAGAAGCGTTCTAACTGTGCTGTTATTTCACCATAACATCACAGGTTTTTCACAAACACTGTATCACTCCGCTGAGACGCCGTTGCTAAGCAACGACTTTGACAGCTGTAGGAGACGCTCAAGACATGTGAACGTTTTACTTCTTACTTTGCCACAAACAGAAAATGGACACTTTTAAGATCACATTTGACCGACAGCCGATTTGGTCAGACTCTGAAGATGAGACGACACTAAATTCCCAAACTGTCATCACCACTGAGCAGCTTTTCAGTCGGCAGCTGTGACAGAAGAACAGCTGAACAACCTGGAATCAGACTGAGCCATAAAACTGTCCCAATAAAAAACAAAAAAGCTGCTCAGTGGTGATGACAGTTTGGGAATTTAGTGTGTGGAGCTGGAGAACGAACTGCCGGCTGTGCAGCGAGTAGGCGGAGCTCGTTACTCTGACGTAGCAACGAGCTGCTCGTTAAGGAACTATAATTTGGTGAAGGAACTGCGAACATTAAAACACATTAAACGCCGCGTTCACGGCCCAGTTTATTAATTTATTACTTTATTTATTTAACTGTTGTATTAAAGCAGTAGAACACTCGAGGAGTGTGTTATCGCCAATAACATCACGGCTGTGATGATCTACGGCCACCAAATCACAGCCGTGATGTTATTTCGCGATACACACTCCCTCTGTGTTCTACTGCTTAAGAAATTAATTGTCAGCTAAAATTTAAGGATTGTTTTGGCTCTAGCAGTCATTCTAAAACCTAAGACTGTCACCGATTACAAAGAGTCCTAAAGTGATGTGGGAACTAATGGAGAACATTCAGAGGTTTGAAAACAACAGGAGAACAATTTCAGAGTGAACCTGAATCAGATTAGGTGACGCTTTGACTCAGATTTGGGGGGGGGTTGTTTAGGACTATGAGGGGAGAACAGGGAGGTGAAGATGAGGAGGAGTTTTTCAGAGATGGAGAAGTGAATTGAGGACATGCTGGAGGAGGTTCTGGATGGAGGACTTGTGGAGGAGGAAGACGAGGACGTGTGAGTTCCAACCACACAGCTGAAGCAGAGGATAGTGATGAGTCACTGATAGGCAGGCTCGCTCTCTCTCTCTCTCTCTCTCTCTCTCTCTCTCTCTCTCTCTCTCTCTCTCTCTCTCTCTCTCTCTCTCCCTCACTCTCTCTCTCTCTCTCTCTCTCTCTCTCTCTCTCTCTCTCTCTCTCTCTCCCTCTCTCTCCCTCGCTCTCCCTCTCTCTCTCTCCCTCTCTCTCTCTCCCTCTCTCTCTCATATATCATTCTCAGGGTTGCACACTGCTATGAAACCTGCCACATATACATATTAACTTAGCTCTGGCTCTTGTTCTTGCTGTCTGTCTCTCTCTATCTCTCTGTCTCTCTCCCTCTCCCTCTCTCTGTTTCATTCTCTTTCATATCTGCTCACGATCTTCTAGGAATGTAAGCCTTCTTGGTGACATTTGCATCACGTCTGCTATTGAAATTCTTATTACCATCTGACGTTCTCTTCACTCTCTGTCTCTTATTGAATGCGAGAGCCGACTTTTTTTTTAGGTCTGAATCCGATGAGGTTGAGATGCTGTCGCTGTATAGATACTATTAATAAGTCACAGATGCGTACCGGTGCATTGCTCATCTGCCCATTTCATAACAACTGCAGTCCAAAAGTTTGGAGTCAGTGTTTTCAGTAGTATAAAAGCAACTCATTTGCAAATAATTGCATAAAATGATTTTAATCTGCTCATCCTGATCAACTTCACACGTAAAACTGTCAGATGAGTCGAGAATGATGTTTGGAGCTGTAGAAGATTCTACAATGACTGAAAGCTGAAGAACATTAATAATGAAGTTCTAATAAAAGTGTTTCAGTTTCTCGTTGCAGCTGGAGTGATTATAAACACTAATCAGTCCATTCATCTCCAAATTATCGATGTTCATCTTAAATCTCTCTCTCTGCCGTTTCGTTAGCTACTAGCTAGGCAAGGCTGTTGTCTTCGTTGCTATGGTGACCAGCAGTCTGCGCTGATCTTCAGGGTTAAAGGGTGAATCAGCAGTTCTACATTAACTCCAGAGTTTAAGACCATTTACAGTTAAACTGTGTTGAACGATCAGCAGAGCTTTATTTTACTGTAAAGGAGGATTATTTTATTTTTACCTACAAATCTGATTCAGCTGTGGAGCCACAACAGGGCAGTAAAAGAGCTGCATGTGGCTCCGGAGCCGCATGTTGTCGCCCCCTGGTTTATAGCAATAAAAATGATATTACATCATCCACCCCTACTGGAACCCATGCTAGCTCCTCATAACTGGGAGTTGTTGTGAAGCTAAATTGAACTCAGTGTGAAATACAGCGTGTTGGTCAGTGGATGGTTCCCACTTTGGTGTTTGGACAGCTGCTGGGGTCCCTTTTACTGGCACCAAGGCAAACAGCAAGAACAAGAAAGGCCGAGCAACACCAGCCCAGCAGCCCCCAGCAGAGCAATTACTGCGGCCATTCTTTAACAAAGCACACATTCGCGCTCCCCCCTCGCCCTTTTGTAAGCGCCGCGTCTCCGGGATAAGAGAACCGGACCGTCCTTCAGGAGTTTGAGTAATGCAGCCCCAAGCTGTCGCAGGATTGAGCATCAGGCAAACATATCCTGAGTGGGCTTTGTTATAAAGATAGATCTCGCTCCCCAGCCGGCTGTAAATGGATTACTAATCAGAGCAGCATAAAGGCTGGCTGGCGTTGTGAAGCGGGCTCGTTATGGGGCAGAGATGGCATCTGTCTCACTGGCCTGTAACGTTCATGGCCTAAATTACAGTAGAACTGTGTGGAAAAGCTGCGCAGGAATCCACCCCCTGTGTACCGTCTCTTGGGGTCTTGTTTAACCAGTGTGAAAGATGGAGCCCAGATCTTGTTTTTGTGTTTTGTTTTCTGTGGCACTTTGATGGAACCGTGTGTGAATCAGGCCTAGCTAACTTGCTGAAAGTAAATATGAGGTCATCCGATTGATTTATCACAGTGTAGATGTCTTCTGTTGGCATCAGTAGAACGCTAGGCTTACTGCTTGACATGTTCTGTTGGTTTAAGCGCTGAGAACGTGTAATGATCTGAGCTCCGGTGCTCTTTTAAATGTTTCCTCAGTAGGGGAATCTGATACAGCTGTCTGTGAAATATTTTAATAACCAATAAACAAGTTTAATAATGTACTTCAGCAATAGAAGAAGAGAGGGAGTGTGTTATAACATGAAATAACTTGACGGCTGTGATTTGGTCTCCGTAGATCATCACAGCCGTGATGTTATTGGCGATAACACACTCCCTCTGTGTTCTACTGCTTTAATACAACAGTTAAATAAATACAGTAATAAATTAATAAACTGGGCCGTGAACGCGGCGTTTAATATGTTTTAATGATCGCAGTTCCTTCACCAAATTATAGTTCCTTAACGAGCAGCTTGTTGCTACGTCAGAGTAACGAGCTCCGCCCACTCGCTGCACAGCCGGCAGTTCGTTCTCCAGCTCCACACAGACCAACTGACAGTTTGGGAATTTAGTGTCGTCTCATCTTCAGAGTCTGACCAAATCGGCTGTCGGTCAGATGTGATCCTAAAAGTAACTGTTGTATAATGTGCAAGTAATCTACTCGTGTCTGCTACCAGTGAGGACGTTTGTTTCGAGCTCCTGTCATTCAGTCGGATGTGGCACAACTGCACGTTATAACTTTCCCCCCGTAGGTGGGGTCAGCTGTGACAGACGGGGGAGATGTAACAGTTGATAAGAACACAGTTAATTCCATACTGTTCTATGTTGTTTGAACCAGATGAGCTTACCTACCTAAATACATACAGATATAAAAATATGTTTAATGAAATGAAGCTTTGACCACAAAGTACAACAATCT